TCCCTTTGCAACCTTCCTCCAAACAAAACAAATTTTAAAAGTAAAACCAAACAAGCAAAAATCTCAGTGTGCAAGCTGTGAGTCACACAGTATACCCTTTACTAAATACATCTTTACTAGCCATGAGTCATTGTTCTGATTTGAGGCCTTTGGCTTCTGTTTATTGATATTGGGCCCTCGCTGGGACTCCTCTTGGCTATCCTGTTGCTGTCCTGTGTCATGGAGATTCTGCAGCTTTGGGTCTGCATGTCAGGCCCCTTCATATGCTCCACCAGGTCATAGATGAAGTAGATGCTGGGGTGGCTCAACTCACAGCCCTAGGTCTGGGCATGGGTGGTGACTGGGTCGGTCAGCCTGCCAGCTTTCCCTCATTGTTGCCACCCAGGCAAGCTCTCCAGCACTGCCCTGGTTGGCTCACCCAATGCATTAGGCAGCAAACAGTGAGGCTGGTTCTTCTGCTCTCACAGCCTCTTATCTTGCTCACCTGTACGTTCTCATGCTACCAGGGTGGGCTCTACTGTTTTTCTCTCCCTATTTCCCACTCTGTAATCACTTATCATAATAGTGCTTGACCACCTATCATCAGAGTGGCTGGGGTTGATTCTGCTCTCTCCAGGGTCAAGGTCAAGACGCAGGGGTAGGGTTGTGGTTATCCTCTGTGCTCAAGAATATTTCTTTAGAAAAACTTTTCCATAGTTACAATTTTTCTCCAAAATTATTTCAAAACATTTTATTTTAATTGCAAGCAAACTTCACTCATTACCAGCCCACCTTAGCTGAAATGCCTGAGGGTAGTAATTTTTGAAAACTTGACAACTAGGCAAGATTACTTTTAAAATTAATTTTAAAATTATCTTTAGTGTACAAAATAATACATATTTATAATATTTTCATGAATATATATCATTGTACTTTGCTCATGTTCGCCTACCTTGTCTGACTGACTTCCCCTCCCACAGCCCCTCTCTCTCCTTCCCAATGGCCTTCCCTTTGTGAAATGAAGACATAATATTTTTGTAAAGTTTTGTGAGTAGGTTCTTCAAACCTGAATCATTACAAACTTACCTTCAGAGGAGATGACTTAAGCTACAAACACAAGTAATTCTTGTTGAGGATTGAGATGTCTGATTTTACTTGCTGATACTTAAAAAAGTGGTTATATTTTTCAGGCTTTTGATGGCTCAGGCATTGTCTTGGGATTCCTTCCTTCCTTCCTTCCTTCCTTCCTTCCTTCCTTCCTTCC